CATGTTCCATACAGGCCTCAGGCCAGTGGGCAAGTAGAAAAGATGAACCATCTGGTTAAACAACAGATTAGTGAAATATGTCAGGAAACTAATTTATATTGGTACCAAGCTTTACCAGTGGCTCTATTAAGAATTTGAACTAAACCTCAGTTGAAAGAAGAGGTTAGCCCACTTGAAATACTATATGGAAGACCGTATCAATCCCAGTCTAAAGGAGAAAGTCTTCAGGAAGTGGAAGAAGGCTATCTCCAGCAGGTTCTGGTCAATCTGAGAAAACAATTAGAAGAAAGAAGCAAGAGAATATTAGAGACAAGAGCGAGAGGTTTGTATTACGCGATTCACCCTTCCAGATCTGGAGACTAGGTTTGTATTAGGAACTTTTCAGGAGATCCTCTACAGGAGAAGTGGAGTGGACCGTACCAGATATTATTGACCACCTTTACAGCAGTGAAGACAGAGGAACAATCTGCTTAGATAAATTCAAGAATAAAGAAAGCACCAGAGCCAGAGAAGATACGTCAAATTGAACCTTCAGGACCCTTATGTATAAAATTCCGTTGGTCATAAATTGGATTCATGTGCTAATTGGCGTACAAGCCTGGGACCAAAATTTATACTTGCAATTAACTGCAGGAATATTAGTATTAACTGTTTCAATATTGATTACTTGTGGTGTGATACAATGTTCCTTTTGGTGTTGTAAACAATCTATGATAAATTATCAAGTTGGGAAAGGAATGAAATCAAGCATCAGGTAGAAACAGGAAAATATGTCAAAAAGACTCTAAATGGTAATGGAAGTATATAAAGTGTTGCAGAAGAATTTGCAGAAGGACAGAAAAAGGGGGAATTTGGGACAAGAAGGCACAAAATGAAAAGCAAACCTTTGTGAGTAAGTAGAGTCAGTTCTAAGTAACGTTAAGGTTGATGGCTTTGTAACAGTAGCAATGGAAAATAACTGAGGGACATGTTCCAAAGAAGAAAAAAACCCAGTCAGAGTGCAGCTAGAGAACATAATGAGAATCCTTGTATAAGACAAACCACTGTAGTTGGAATAGTTTAAGGTCCTTATGACCTTGGTACAAAAATAAGTGTAAGAAAAACAGGACATGCAGATAAAGAGTATCTGAAACTAGCAGATGTCCAGGATGGACTGCAGCTAAGCTAACTGATAAGTAGGAGGACAGGATAATTATGTCTGCAGTGTTGCTGAACCAATTAAGCTGGGGTAAGCATTATCTACTGTGCGTGCTTCAAAGACTGCCAAAAGTGATGAAGATTGTTGGAAGAAGTAAACAACCCCCAAAGACCATCACCACATTTTTGTACATATGCGAGGAAACTTTCTAGAAGAATGATGTAATGTGTAAGTAGCCTCATGCATATGCATGTATGTACATAATGACTATGTATGCTTAGCACCTATATAAGGACGGCTTGTTTAGCAATTTGGGGAGACACGCTAGGAGGAGCTATTGCTCTGTCTCCTGGCGATGTAATGGAGAATACTTGCTTGTCAACTTAAACTTTGTTGGCAAGTTCCTGGAGATTCCTCCTAATCACTGTTCAGCCTGGAGAAGAGAAGGCTGCATGGAGACCTCATAGCAGCCTTCCAGTGTCTGAAAGGGGTCCTATAAGGATGCTGGGGAGGGACTCTTCATTAGGGACTGTAGTGAAAGGACAAGGGGTAATGGGTTCAAACTTAAACAGGGGAAGTTCAGATGGGATATGAGGAAGAAGTGCTTCACTGTGAGGGTGGTGAGGCACTGGAATGGGCTGCCCAAGGAAGCTGTGAATGCTCCATCCCTGGCAGTGTTCAAGGCCTGGATGGACAGAGCCTTGGGTGAGATGGTTTAGTGTGATGTGCCCCTGCCCACGGCAGTGGGGTTGGAGCTTGATGATCTTAAGGTCCTTTCCAACCCTAACCATTCTCTGATTCTATGATTTCATCTCCACATATGTTGCAGGAAGACCTCCACAACTTCTGTTGCCCTGATGACAACCCTCCACCTTCAGCTTGGAGTGCGAATTAGACAAACTGAACACTCTTTCTGAGGCAAGCTATCAGTGGAAACACAAGACAGCATTCCCTCTCTTTTGCACCAGGACATGCTGATCCACTGTGGTCCCAGTAAGAAAGGCATTCAGACACTGCAAAGTATCATTTAAAATGCAATTTATTAGAGTTAACACCATAAAGAAATAGAGAACTGCTACTTTACAGCATTTCAGATGCTGTGAAGCATAAGCAGTGCAGCATCAAAAGGCCTCTGATCAGAGCACACCATGAAGACCCTGTCTGTGAAAAGGCTCCTCCATTATGGCCATTAAACTATTAGAGGATTTTCTTGCAAAAAAACCACAACTCTAGTCATCATTTTTCCTGTCAAACAGAAACAATATTCACAGATTAACTTCTCACTGCTCTTTTAGGCATGGTCATCACCATGGAGTGGTGTAACTGCCAGTACAACATGGGAGCTGCCCACCACTCCTCTAACAGTGAGCTGGCTGAGTTTATCCTGTGGCCTTGGGATACCTACAGCACAACACAGGCCTGCAGGTCACCCTGTTTGTGGGTACACTCAGTTAACTGTTGCACTGATCACTGAGGCCTCAAATGCACAGTGGCCCTCCAGGCAGGATCACCTCCCTCCAGTGTGGAAGCACGCTGCAGCATCCTATTCCAATACCACACCCGGCATCCTGAGGTGTCTGACCTCATGTGTTTGGAGTCTGCAATTCAAGAGATTCTGAAGGATAAAAACAGGTAGCTGTAACATCAGTAAGTGATCAGGAGAGATGGCAGGACCTCAGGGATCAACCTTTTTGCTCAGGCTGTACATTGTAGACAGGTTGGAAAATGGGGCTAGAGGGGGCTTTTGCTAACCTTGTGGGTCCCAAACTTCTGTCGTGTAGGCACAGCCTGCAACGGAAGCATAGCACCTGAGTGGTACCATCCCTCAAATGGAATGAAGGCGATGGAAATTTCCCAGTGTCCCTAGCATGAGGAAGTGCAGTATGAACAGGGGAGTGGTTCTGCATTTATCTTGAAAAGTCTGAGTTGTTCCTGTCAAGATGTTGTCATATGCAGGGTCTCTGGAGTGATCTCTGCACCAAGTAGCCTTGCAGAATGTATGTGAATGACCCTACAGAGGTAAAGGCTTGAGCAAAGAAAACTGGTCTGTGTTTCTCTGTCCCGTGTTCCCCCCTTCTCCAGCCAGGTGCCCTGAACTTATAACTCATACATGTTGAGGGGGTGAACTCAAAACTTGGCCTACTAATTACTGTCCTCCGGGCACTTACTACTATTGTGGCGGCCACTGTGTTAGCGTAAGAACTGACACGTAACCACCGGAATGGTTATACGAGGTGCTTTATTGCAGCGTTGGGAAACCAGAGGCACGCGCCCAAATCTGGCTTCAACTCCGTCACATCGCGTCCGCAATTTATACACTATTCAATACAGATTACATCATTGACTAATACATATGCATCAGGGATTACTTCATTACATCAGCCTCCTCTGCGCTTGCACAGCCCCCTCTGGTGGTCGTCCTGATGAAGTAAGGTCTTCCTCAGCTTATCCTTTTCACCTTTGTGTTATTTGGACAGGCCCCAACCGTTATGTGGACGCCAGCATTCTAACTTCCTCACTTTGCTGCTTCTATGTTGCAATGATTTCGCAAAGCTATCAATATTGCAGAGATTACAAATTTTCCTGCTGCTTAAGATATATAGTTCCTATTTCTAGACAGAGTTTCCTTTTAAGCAATACAAAGATTATAAACATCTGTATTATCAAGACGCACAGTTCCTTGTTTTAAATTAGTCTTAGGCCAGACATCCCGTGTTCTTCTTGTGGTTATGTTAGTTTCTACTGCTAAGGCTACCATTGTGATATTTTTGGTTATAGAGTAACTAAAATACAGAACAGCAAAGTTACAACATTTTTCTAATACACAGAAGTCTACTTTTGATTCGAAAACTTCTCAGATATAATCATTTCTATTACTCTATATAATCATTTCAACGTAAAATTTCACTCTTTTTTCTAACACATGGAGCCCCGCAACGCTCCTCAGTATGTCGCTGTAACGGTGATCAGGGCTGCAGGGTGCTGAAGAGGAAATCTGAAAGGACTGCAGGTGCACCCCCCGGATGGCTCACCGCAGTTTTCAGTACCTTTCCTCAGAAACCCGTAACTCCTCGGGTAAGCGCTTCAGGCGGTAGAACAGAGCGCTCTCGCAAACTTCCTCACATTAACCACCGAAAGTCTTCAATGCAACACCTTTAACGTTCGGGAAAACCGTTACGTGGGTGTTCCTAGGGAGACTCTTTCACCTATCGCGTAAGAGCGATGGGCTGCTCGTGCCTTGGCGAGGCCGATGGCGGCCGCGATGCACCAGCACCACCATGTGAAATAGCAACCCCGACCATGACAGCTCCATACCGCCACCGTCCCTTCCCATGCTCCCTCACACACCCGCGACACGCCCCGCCCCGCCCCGCGCCTGGCGCCCTCTGATGACGCCAGCTCACCTGGCGCCCAAGCCCGGCCGCGCGCAGCCGGACGGGCGCACGCGCGTTAGGTGAGGCGCAGCGTTCCTTTCTCTCGACCTGCTCCCCCTTCCCCCCTCCGGCCGACCGTTAGGTGGCCCCGCTGCCAGCCCAATCGCTGCTGCTGGGCTGGGCTGCACTCGAGGCGAGGAGAGGACGGGAAGGGACGGGAGAGGAGCGGAGCATCCCCCGCGCAGACACGGCACCGTCCGGCCGGCCTCTGCGCCTCCCTTCAGGAGGAGGCCGCGGGCGAGTGGAGGAGGGAAGCCCCGTCATGGCGGGGGGGGGGGGGGTGGGGCGGGCAGGGAAGGGGACAGGAGCGGGATGCGCGGGTGTCCACCGGTGGAGGCGGCCTCTGCAGGCGAGGGCGCGGTCCCCGCGCGGGCGGGGCCGCCCGCAGGCCTGGGTGCGTCGGCTGGAGGCGCGGGGAGGCAGGCGGCAGGGAGAGGCGGGCTAAGCTGGCGGCCGGCAGCTGCCTCCGCCCCGGCACCCGAGGCCCGCCCTCCTCCCGCAGTTGGGGGCAGGGCTGAGGCCGTCGTGGGGGAGCGTGGTGAGGGACTGAATAGTGTCTCTCCGCATAGGTGAGCCCGATGTCGATTCGCCGGCTGGCCGAGGGGAGCGTGGCGGTCCCTAAGTGATGCTGAAGAGCCGGCCCCGTGCCGGTAGTCACCCCGAAGCCGGCAGTCACCCCGAAGCCGGCGAGGCCCCGTGCGTGAGCGGGGTGGGAGACATGGACTCGGCAGAGCCCGCGGGCCCCGCGGCTGGACACCTCTCGGCGGATCGGCCCGCGGTTAGCCGCCTTGGCGGGGAGGAGGAGCCGGACAAGGAGGGAGACGAGGAGGGAGGGAAAAGCGGCGGCTGTTCCTGGGAGCAGGCCCTGAATCCCGAGCTGCAGCAGGGATACCGCATCTTGCGTGAGTTTCTCCTGGAGAAGTACCGGCCTCTGACAGCACCGTTTTTGAAGCCCCTTGAGGATCAGGCATCCTTCAGGGAAGGAGCTGGCTCCCTCTCGGGTCGTAAGAGCATTCACTCCTTTCAGCAGTCGCCAGCTGGAATGTGGTTGTTAAAGATGGAAGAAAAATTTTCCAGTGGGCAGTACACGGGGATAGCGGACTTCGTGGGTGACTTCCGGCTAATGCTGGAGACTTGTTACCGACTGAATGGTGTAGATCACTGGCTTTCCAAACAGGCCCAGAAGCTAGAGATGATGCTGGAGCAGAAGCTGGCGCTGCTGTCCCGGTAGGTGTAGAAAGCCTGAAAGGGGGCCAACCACGTGTTGTTTACGTAAAGTATGAAAAGAGGGTGTGTTTCTTTATGTAAAAGATACCATTTGCATGGGTTAAAAAAAAACCACCCCACAATAAAATCATTGAACTCTCAATGCTTACACAAAGAGGAATGTTTCCTGCTGGCAACTATGTAAATGCAATTCCATCTGCTTTGGAGATCCCAAACCCGAAAATACCAAAAAAAAAAAAAAGTGTTCAGCATTTCTGGATTAAGATTTTCTGAAAGAAAGTCTTCCGAAAGAAGCGTTTTGAAGAACTGGAGGCAGACTTGTTTAGACAAGATGTCAAATGCTCTTTTCTTTGTTTTGTTCTGTCAAAAGGAAGTGAAACCGAAACTTTGCGTAAGCATCTGGCTCTTCAAAATTAAGATTTCGACAGTCTGAAATTTTTAATGTCTTTAAAACGAGTAGGAATAAATTCTTGAGCCAAAGTATCTGCTTTAAAATAACAAGGTTCTTTGTGTGTTTTTTTTTCTTTTTAATAATCATAAAATGAAAGATAATGTTTGGCATGTTACAGTTTTAAATGGCAAAATGGAAATTGTGGTATGTTTAAGCCCCTGGCAGGAACTTGTTTATCAGCCAAAGCAGCTGAAGCAAGGAAACCTGTCAAGGTATATTGTAGAAAGTTCAGTTTAAATCATGACTGAAATGCAGTTTCTCAGGAGTTTAACAGGCAGAGGGTGAAGAAGGAACAGTATTGAGAAGTGCATAAAGCTGTGCACGTCCATCAACCTTCAACTTGCTACTTACACAGTATTGGCCGCCAGCGGGTAAACAGGATCTTGCTTTGTGTGTGGTAGGAGCACTTGAGAAGTGTGGTGCCGAGCTCAATAACCTGGAGTAACTGTATTCCGTGTTGGTGTAGCAACACTATATTTGAAACTGATTTTGTTCAACAGCAGTTCTGGGACAGTGTGGGACTAGAAGGGAAGGAGCTGAATCTAACAGAGCATGAATGTTGCTAGTTTGCTTGAGTAAAACTTGATTAAAAAAAAAAAAAGTCAGAATTGCTGGCTTAAGAGTACTGCTGGATAGCTAACCAGATGCAGCCTGAAGATTTGTGCCAAGTTCCCTTTGTATGTTGTGTTGACTGTAACATCTCAACTGTATGGAATTGATAGGCATTTTGTGGAGATCTCTTTGTTGAATTAGATGCCTACTGATTGAATTCAGTAGGACCTAAGAATGCTCGATGCCTTTTTATTAGAAACTACATAAGAAAGTGAAGTCAATTTAGGTAGCATCACCATATCACAGTATATGTATTTACTAAATTCAGTTGTTGTCATTCTTTCACAAATGCAGTCTTTGTTCAGATAAATATTAAGAAATATTAAGCAGGCAAAGAGCAATCCTGAATTTTTGATACTAACTCTTCAGAGATTTGTAAATATTTTTTGTCTGTATACACTCACTTTGTAAGTTTCTAAGAGCTAGATATAGAAAGGATTAAGGATTCTAGAAATCTCAAAATTCCTTCATAGTTTTTGTTCAGACTTGTTTGAAGTGTTTAACATATACAATTTTATTAGTAAAATGGAATTCAAGAACTACTTGGAATAATTATTCTTGTTTCTTTAGGGCAGTATTATCCTCAGTGAGCCCCCCATCAAGTGACTCGGGGTTGGTTGCATGACTCAGATACTGCAGACCATAGAAGAATCACTTTAGAATGGATGCTGGACTTTTTTTACCCCCTCACCTCATGTTTTCAGAGGTGTGATAGAGTGTTACTTCTCATACCAGTTTTGCTAGAGTACTTTGGAACACTGTAAGATACAACTTTACAGGCAAATCAATAGTGTTACACTTTTTGATCTTTTTTAACTTTTAACAAACTAAACTGCTGTTAAACACACAGCCCCCCTGACCCAAATCAGTAAGTGCACTCCCCCCCCTCAGCCCAGTATTTTTAGGTGTCTTCTAAAAATGATAGTTTCTTAAGTCTTGTGGAAGTATTTTCTTTTTTTTTTATACACATTAATATAGGAAGTTAAATCTCCAAATAATATTTACATACTTGAGGTAAAGATCCACCGTTTTTAACAGATGTGAAAATATAGCTCATGTTAGCATGTTGGTTTTAATTTTTTGAATTTCTGAAGGAACTTTCAAAGTGGAAAAAATGGCAGGTGAAAAGTAACTGCTTTTTTTTCTGAGTAAATATGCTTGATATATGATTGGTAGTGTAGGCACTGAAGTGCTGTTGATAAGGGAAGTTGTAATTGTGAACTGGCTTGCTCTTCTAGGCATTTGAGAGAGAAAACTTCAATAGCTGTAACATCTAGAGGATGTTATGGGCTGGAAGATGAGAAAGGAGCAGCATGCATTTCAACAAGACGTCGTTCCATGCCTCGCAGTGTAGTAGGCTTGTCAACAGGCATGTTTGAATCTGTGATGGTTCAGGTTCTAAGACAAGAAGAACACCTGAGAGCAAAAGAGGAAAAGAGGTAATAGGAAGAACTGTTTTGTTTCACTTTTAAATAATTATGTCTTCCTAGTTCTCTACAGGGACTAGCTCCTTACGGCTTTTCTAGGCAAATAAATGTTGTGCTCTTTGTCTGAAGTTCATGACTGGGACTTCAATACAGTGCATCCACAAAGCAAGAGATTAATTTTTGATCTACCACATTCTTGAAAAATTTCTGAAGTCATGTGAACTTTAAAATAAATTGACTGCTATTATTTTAGGATTATGAAACTTCTAATAGTAACTGCAAGAACCTGCAGCAATTTCCTGTTACCTCAGTCATGGTGTATCACACCTCTTCTTGGACTGTTTTCCATGCAACAATTAGATTAAAAACTACCAGAATGCTTAATTACAGCCTAATTCTGTGATCTTGCCACTGCTTTCCTCACTGTCAGCCAGAAGCAAATTACCGCTGCCACTTCTGTTATCTCACTGATGTGGCATTTAACTCTCAGTAATAAATTTAGAATGTGTGTAATTAACTCTGGGATTTTGAGGTTTTCATGAATTTAGGAGGTAATTAATTCTAGGCAGTGTTTAATGTTGATTGTGGTATGGTTTACTTTGGGAAAGCAAAGCTTGTAAGCTTCTATACTTCAACAATAGCTTGGGGGACTGTGTCTGGACATGAAGCATGATGGTAAGACTATTAGTTTTAGGAAGCAAGATCTTATCAGCGTTTTTCAAAGTTTACAGTTTTGTAGAGTTTTCCCGACTATAACCAGTTCACTGTCACTTTGCAGGTAGTCTTCATTTTCAGCAGATTTGAAGACCTGCAGTTTTGGCTGACTTGAGTGTTAATCAGTTATTTTACTGTAGAAATGAGTGAATTTTGATTCATATTACCACCTCATACTTTGCAAAATATCAGAAATCATTAGGGTTGTTATTTCTCTGGTAAAATTCTCTTTATTTGTGCTCAGTTCTGTGTTCTAGATTTCTGAACTTCATAACAGTTACAAAAAAAGGACATTTTGATTACATTTTAATTCACCTATAGAGTCAGGAGAACATATTACCTCATGAAATAAAAATTTTGCTTTTGTACATCTTGTTCATGCACTTTTCTGCAGAACTGTTGTAATTAACCGTTAAATGCATTTATCTGGATATACTCAAAAGTTGCAGTGCAATGGGTACCACCAGGTAGTTAATTCTGCACAATAACAGAAGATCACAACTAGCTTGTGTCTTTATGCCCTGGAATTTTGAACGATAGCACTCATTAGGAAGCAATAAAAATGTGTCATCAGGTAGCTGGTTGAATATTTCTTTGATTTTGTTGATCTCCTCAGATAATCATGCTTCAGATACCTTCTTATTTCCTAGTGGGATTCACCACATTTTTGAAAGTAACTTGAACCTTTCTATACCAGTTGTTTGCCAATTCACCACAATGCAGATGTTCCAGAAGTACATTGTAGAGGTATTTTATGAAAAAAGCTTGGATATTGGGAGGCCTACTTAGTAATACATCACCAGTGAAGATCATATCAGACAGCACATACACATTTTTAGAGTGTTTTATATATAAATGCATATACTTACAACACTAAGATGGGAAGCTATTTTTATTAAAAAGTGGCTTTCACCCACTCTTCATTTTTTGTAACAAAAAAGAAGTTTGCTGAACTGGAATTGCATTTATACCTGTTTAAATCTTGTACTAAACCTGTAAAGAAGATTAAATATGCAATTCTGAACAATTATCTCCCATCTTTTTCAGGCCAGAAATTGTTAATGCAGAATTCATATTTTAATGTATCCCAGTAGAATTCATGCTATAAAATGTATTCACAGGACTAAAGCACTACTTTAGTGGATACGTATTATTCTATTGGTTATTAATATTGTTTTAGTTGGTCTTTCATCAAAGTTGTCAAAAAATGAGTGTCCAAATCTGTTGCTATAATACAGGATATCCTGTGTCAGGGTATAGTTATGAGTGACTGGGATGGTCACATCAAATGAGTCTGTAAACTGTTCAGGATTTTAAATTGTACTGTACTGAGCTTTGCCTTCCTTCTGCTCTTTCACTGCTGCTGTTTTTCCCCATAAAATTGTGTGCAGTGTTGTGGTGTAATTTCCCTGTGTGCTTGCTCATCAGCTGTGTTTGGATAGGCAGCACCTGCTGTTTACACAAGTTGCAGATGAGTTATCAGGAACATACAAAAATGCTCACTTCCTAACCATCCAGCTGACCACTCAGCATACATCTACTTTCTAGCTAGTAATTATTTTAGTTTATAGACTGCTTAGTCGCCTGAGTAGGAGTTACATGCTTTCAGCCATGTAACAAGTAAGGTTGCAAATATAAGTGCCTTTTTACAAAACTTAGCCAGATACCTAAAGAAATTGCCTGTTGAAGTCCAAGTTAATATCTAATCCTTTGCTTTAGATACACAGATACCTTGTAAAGGACTGCCGTCTTATGATGAACAGAAAGAAACGCAGTAAATGAAATCTTTAAAATAGTTTCTGATTATTTCCCTCCCCCCCCACCCAATGTTGAAATTGATTTTAGATGCTTTTATTCAGCTGTGTATTTTGGTGTGATTTTTTAGCTTTTCTTTAATCAGCTTAAGGGAAATCCTACTCCAAATCCTTTTGGTTTTGGTTTTGTTGTTGTTTTGTGTGGTTTTTTTTTTGTTATCTAGGTATTCTTTGTAGGAGGTTCTCTTCTTCTTCGTTGTAGTTTATCTACGTCTTGCATAATCTATTCCATAGAATAGTTAGGGTTGGAGAGGACCTTAAGATCATCTAGTTCCAACCACCCTGCCGTGGGCAGGGACACCTTAACTAAACCGTGCTACCCAAGGCTCTGTCCAACCTGGCCTTGAGCACCACCAAGGATGGAGCATTCACAACTTCCCTGGGCAGCCCATTCCAGTGCCTCACCACCCTAACAGTAAAGAATTTCTTCCTTATATCCAGTCTAAACTTCCCCTGTTTAAGTTTTAACCGTTACCCCTTGTCCTGTCACTACAGTCCCTAATGAATAGTCTATCCCCAGCATCCCTATAGCCCCCTTCAGATACTGCAAGGCTGCTATGAGGTCTCCATGCAGCCTTCTCCAGGCTGAACAGCCCCAACTTTCTCAGCCTGTCTTCATACGGGAGGTGCTCCAGTCCCCTGATCATCCTCGTGGCCCTCCTCTGGACTTGTTCCAATAGTTCCATGTCCTTTTTATGTGTCCTGAACATAATTGATTTCAATTTTTTCCTTATTTAGTGGTTATAACCTCCCCCAACTAATACATTTATCATGGTAGACTCAACATGTAAAAATTTGGAAGATGTCTTTGCAAAGCTAATTTCACTGTTTTGCAGTGGAGAGTTTCTGAAGTACTTCCCCCCCCCCCCCGTATATGTATATAAGGACGTCTGATTTACTTTTCTTGTCAGTCTTGTTATTTCTTTTCCTTCAGTTCTAATTATCAGAACATAGACTATCTTACTTCAGTTATCAGCTACATTTCCATGGGGTTCTACTCAGCTGCTTGATTATGTGTTAATAAGTAACATACTGACATACTAACTTCCGTATTAGTTAACAATAATGGTGGAATTGTTATATAATTGGAAGTGATTGCCTATTGAGAGGCATTTATAGACATAGAGGTAGTTTCCTACTGAATTTTTTTAAACAACCAGTGAATGCTAGGTAATTAACTGGTTGATTTCAGTGGGAATAACTGTCTGTACAACTTTGAATTGTTGAAAATTATGCTAGGTGAAACTATGTCTTTACCACCACTGAAAACGTGACTCTGGGATAAGTTTCAGACATGGTCACTGAAACATTTAAAGAACTCAATTCTGGCTGTAAGTTAGTCATTTAAATTGCCAAATTGTGAAATGAGGTATGCGTATACAATCAGTCTAGCCTTTTATGAGGAACTGAGCATGGAATGAAGTGTGTTCTATGGAAAAATGTATGCAAAAAACGTATGTTGTAATGCAGTGTAAGGCATTACAGGTAAAGAATTAAGGTCACATGGGCGTCTCCAAATTAAGTTTCTTCTGACCATCGACTTGATCAAATTTAGAATAATGCATAATATTGCTATTTTTATACTTAGCTTTCTAGTATAATTTTAAAGTTTAGTAGAAACAAGTATTGTAGAATTAAAGCAGTTCTCTATACCTTGTCATCAAAGTTCCAGTACCATACCATTTACCTGTGAAAAATTAGTCAATACTATAGTTGTTCAGAAGTGATACTTTGGGGGCAGGGGGGAGGTACCATCTAGTATTTGTCTTTTCTGCCCTCCCAGTGAAATCTGTTGTTGCAAGTGAGGAGTTAGCTGGCTTTAGACAGTGCCTGCTGTCTAAAGAGAGAAAATTACAAGTGGGGAGTTATATGGACTCTGTTCTAGGGGATATCTCTACTTGGGCACATCTGCTGAGTTTTAAGGTCAGGTTTTATCCACGTTCTTTTAAGAGTATGCTTGTCCTTTGTTAGTCTGGAAATGTCAGCTTGACCTTAAACCTTGTGATAGTCTTGTGTTATTATTGTAAACAAAATGTGTGCCTGGAAACATGTTCCTGATAAATGTAAATAAAAGTATGAACAAAGGGTTTTCACAGTTGCTGTCAGCATAAAAGCCAAATATACTTGTCCAGAGAACTTCTCAGTGTAAGGTTATTTGTCCTCCTAAATATCAGATGTTTCTCTCTCTCTCTCTCTCTCTCTCTCTCTCTCTCTCCTTCCCCCTCCCTCTGCCCTCCGCACTTTCTTCTTTGCTGCACCTCCTCTCCCTACTTCATCCCCTCAAAAAAGAAAACCAACAACAAATGCCCCAGAAAAAGCTATGCCCTTGAAAAGATAGGCAGCTGATAGGAAGACCTCAATAAGGAAGATGTAAAAGTGTGCAATTACTTATATTTTCTCTTGAATGGCTACTGAGAGTGGAATGACTACAGATACTGTGATAAAATGACAGCTTTTAAAAAAAAGGCAAACTTTTTGCAAGTGGAACAAGATATGTTTTACTTGTAAAAAAAGATTTCTAAAATAGTATAATGATTATCATTTTATGAAGCACATTTAGAATTTTACATTTATTTATATTACTAATTGATGGTAAGTAGAAACTGCTTGTGAAGACAGTATTTTTAGATCTACAGCTTGCGTTATTATTAAATAATACTAATGTTATTGTTTCTACAAATGTTCCATCCAACTGTCTATTCATATTTAAGCATATTTCCATACTACTTAAATAGTATTCACACCTTTTGGAGGCAGCAGGTTATTTGAAAATATGTTTTATGGTTAGCAGGAAGGAGGGAATGGGATTTGAGAGTGCTTTGAAATTCATTTTGAATTCGTATCGTTTCTTCCTCTGTCCCACTTTATTTATTTCTATTTTTTTTAAGTTACATTTATTTATAAATTAGTGCGGTATTAACACATAGAAATAGAACAAAAATCAGAATTAAAAAAATGCTCACTTTATACAAGCACTGTTGTTGAATATACCTGTTTATTCATCTGGAATGGCAAATGGGCATTTGTTATTACACCACATTCATTGTATGTTTTTAAATTAGCACTGCAGATTGGAGTTTTGTCTTGAGATCTCATCCATTATACAGTAAAATTAATGGTGCACTGAGAGAGTGAAGTTGTAAATTTACTGATTGGTTTGATTTTTACATTTTTATGTTTTACATGAAACTGCTTTTCTGCATTTGGTAGTTACATAAAAAAATAAGTTGCGTATATGTGGTGTTAAACATTTCTATTCAAATTATGGCAATAAATACCTTGGCATTTATTTAAGTTATATAAGGTAAAACATTCAGAGGAATCTTACTGTATTATGTGTCATTTTGCATACACAGAGGATGTAAATTTTAAGTTTGTGGTCATGGCATATTTCTCCTGCATCCATGCTAAAATGTCAGCTAAGCTAGGTTTGTCACATTTTTTGCACTGAGATACATAGTTAATGCTTCAAATATACATCCTTAATGCTAGAAGCCACTATTAGCTTCATGTTCAAAATAAAGATTTTAATATACTATTATTATTTGGCTAAATTTGGAAAGCACTGATGCTTTGAATGGATACATGACATTTATTTTCTAGTTTTGTATGAAGTAATATAGTTGGAGGTTAGAAATTGGGAAATGTAAATTCCAGCAACAGGTCACATTAGTGATGTACACAGTTGTTTGTTTCTAACAGTGGTCAGTGACAGAAGCTTCAGAGAAAAGAATGTGAGAAAAATACATGAGAAACTTTGAAAGGGCTCTAGAAAAAATTTCCTCTAAGTACAGCTGTATCCTAATCCTACCTTTTGGAATCTGGTTATGCCTTGAGGCAAAAATGTTAGTTTACCATTGAGGCATTAAAGAAGAATCCCTCCTGTTACTGGTAAACCTTGATATTCCTGTGATTCTCGCAGATGTCCTATTTTTCACTTTGAAACTAAATTAACATATTAATGTATGTCCTGCTAAGTTAGACGGTAAGCTATGAATAATTATCTAAAGTGGAAGTATTTTTTTCATCTTAAACTTGTTACCTTTAAATGTCGTGATATTACAAATAAAAGTAAACAGAAGTACCGACTCTGTCATATTACTTTTGTATAGTGCTGTCATGTTTCCTCTTGCTAGTGTTATGTGTAGATTCCCAGATCTTTCAGAAGTTTTTGACAGGCCTCTGATTATTGATGACTTCTTTCTCTGAATACCCACTACTTCTGCTCTATCCTTTTTTTAGATAGGGGGACCAGAACTGAATACAGTTTTTCAGGTGAGGGCACACCATTTATTAATGACATTTTATTTCTGGTGTTATTTTCCATCACATTCTTCGTGCATTCTGATACTTGTTTCCTTTTTGACCACCATTGCAAATCAACTAGTAACATGGCTGTGGGTGGGAGGGAAAAGGCTTTTATATGTGAATGAAGTACTTAACACTTAGACAGTACACTTGTGCACTAAGGGAGTTAGTTACAATGTAGGTGACACAAGCCGCAGCACAACCATTTGAAAGCGAGTCTTACCTGGAATTTGTTTTCAGACATTTTTATACAGCTATTTGTTGGAAATACTAAATCCTGCCAAAAAGTGATTGGGGAAAGGAGTACATTTAAAAAAAAAGGTATATAAACCATTTATTTAAAGTATATAAACCATATATTTATAAACAATATATGCCAGATATTTTCTTACCTTTTTCCTTTCTTAAACTAGTGGTAGAAGTAGTAAAAGGCTGTAATAATTTTCCATTTTGTTGCAGTGATGCACTGTGTAATCCAAAGTAAGACAAACTGAACTGTATTGTTATTTATTACTTCAGGACAGGTATATTTGTCATGCTGTGGGTCTGATTTTTTTCTCTCCTGTTTCTTTTTGTTCTCCTGATTCCTCAGTTTTCATAAACTTTCTTTTAATAGGCTGAGAGAGCAAGAAAGAAAAGAAGCAGAAGAAGCTAGTCAGAAAGAAATAGAAGAATGGGAACAGTCACTTTTAGCTCAAGCAGCACCTACAAGGATGGAGACAATGTGGGAAATTCCAGCTATTGGTCATTTTCTTTGTTTAGCACAACAGATTTTAAATTTACCGGAAATAGTATTCTATGAATTGGAACGTTGTCTTCTGATGCCTCAGTGTAATGCTTTTTTGTCTAAAATAATGACTTCTTTGTTAAGTCCTCCTCATCGCAGATCTACGTTACATCGTAGGCCTACACTTTCTTACAGGACTTGGGAAGCAGCACTCAGACAGAAAGTACGACACTGGTATACTGTTGTAGGGCAGACTGACAATCCTAACAGCTCTGCAGAAAAACTTGGATTGTGTCCCCAATTTTTCAAAGTCCTTGGAGAGGTTAATCCCTTGGAATCAAAACCATTTCATGAGCTACCATTCTACCAAAAAGTGTGGCTGCTAAAAGGTCTCTGTGATTTTGTGTATGAAACACAGAAGGATGTTCAGGATGCAGTGCTAGGTCAGCCTATACATGAATGCAGAGAAGTAATTCTTGGTTATGACTACTTGGAGAATGCATACGTTCATTTTCCACAGTTCTGTGGTGCAGATGTTCGGATTTACAAACAAAAGCCTTTTCAGGCTCCTGAATTCCCATCTCCTCCCATCAAAGTTAGAAAAGTGTCACGTATTAAATTGGAAAAAGTAAAACGTGAATATGTGAGGAAGAGCAATGGGGAGGTTAGTTCTGGTGGCAAAGAAGAGCTGCTACATCATTCCAAGGCAGAAGCAGAGAAGACTATGGATTCCATAGTTAGCTGTCCAGAAAAAAACCCACACTTAGATAGCTTTAGAGTCACTACAGAGGAGATTAACTGTGACATCAAGCCCTCAGGATTCTGCGACATCAAAAAAACTGGTTGCTATAAAGAGAACTTGGGGAGTTTGAGTAGTTCAGGAGAGACTGTTGGTATGGGTGGTCACCTTAGTTCAGGAGAAATAAAGACTGTGGAGAATGGCCATAGTTTTTCTGAAATGGCTAGAATAAAAGCTGAGATCAGTCCATTCAAGGAGAACACACTGAAAGCTTGCCAAATGCATGTCAATGGCACTCATAATGACAACGTAAATTACCAGGAATCTGCTAAAGAAACAATGCTAGAGAAGTCACTGCGAAATAATGAGAAACTAAACAAGTTGCGGGCAAAAAAGAAGAAAAAGAAAAAAAAGAAGTTGAAGGATATTCTAAACGAAAATCTACAGAGAAAACTTGATGACTTGCAAAAAAAACGTGAGATTCATCTTCATCCATTCAAATCTTACAAAACTGAGATCCAGAACAAGTTGTTCATAATTAAAAAGAAAGCAAAACACAAGAAGCACAAATCTGGTAAGTTAGCATTTTTACCGTTAGTAAATTTAGGAGGATACGGATTTTGTTAGTTGATTAGTTTATGTTTTATTTTGTGAAATAGGACAGCCTTCGTGGATTAGATTTTTCTGATAGTGGAAAGGTTTCCCACTGCAATAACAGAAGCACGTAAAATAGATTAATCAGCTGATTAAACCATGATTCATTTGCAGAATTTATCTTTACAGAACATATCTCATTGGAAGAGTTTGTTACAGAATTATTTAAGAAAATTAATCTGACTGAGTGGTTAGCATCAGAGAGTGTAGCTTGAAGTTGCTTTATGCTGTCTTGTAGCAATTGTGGAAATATTTCTACCCTTTCTGGTAATGTTAGTTTATATAAATTACAAAGAAACGCAGAGTAATTACAAAACATCATGAATCTAAAATAATTTCTCCTGGAACTGTGCAGTCTTAGATCACCAGTCACCAAATAGTACTGCTTTGACTGCAGGCCTGATCAAATTTCTGCTTAGTCCAACAACTGAGGTACAGAATTTATGCAGATGGCTTTTGCATTACAGATGTTGGCAGCATCTAGTTAAATGTTTCAGGTAGGTGACACATGATCCAAATTCCAGTTAGCTCACTGGAAAATTTTTAAATATTTTTAAAAGAATAAAGTTGGAAGTCCTTAAGTCACTTCCAATTGTCAGGTAGTATTTTAATGTTGTGTAAAACACCATAAGGGCTAAGCTGTCTGTGCTAGATTTCAGCTGACTGCTTCAAACATACTTTTCGAAGCAACAGGCTTATTTTCAGAACAGTGTAGACTGACAGATAAATACTGGATTTCAGATAAAAGCAGAGCCAAAACCAGACATCTCTGTAACAAAACATCTTCTGAACAGTAAGGCAATTCGGAGGTCTGATGCCAATGCATTTTACCTAGAAATTCAATTGAAATTTAAAGCTAATAAAAGAAATAATGTTTAGATCCCAAATATTTGTGCAGAATACTCGAAGAAGTGTCTTACCATATAAAACACAAGTTCCTCCCTCCAAAAACTTTCAATGCCCATATCTAAACATAAATTTTAAGAGTTACAGTTGAAGTTCATAGGTGCAGTATTCAGCAAAAGAAATTTATTTTACATTCACTTTTGTCACTGTTAGCTCTGGAAACGTATCACTTTCCATTTTTTAGATCAGACAATCACAAAATGAATAATAACCTAAATTTAAAATAAGGGCTCTCTAATTTATAGTACTATTAGGAAAAAAAAATGGGGACCAAGTGACTTTTTTTTTCTTGTTATAGTAGTTAAAGTTGGCCTTAGCCTTTGTTGTAACCCTCACATGCCTAAAAATGTACTTCCTATAAATGAAGCAGTGCTCATAGAACAGCATGTGTAATTTTTTAATAGATTTTTGTTTTGAACCACTGTTCTCAAAACAGACAGTATTTGAAAGTAGCCTTTGAAGTTAATAGAGATAACATTCACTGTGATAATGGCTTTTCTTGCGTGTTTCATAAAAAAATCCAAAAGTTAAAAAAAGTTGCCCATTTGCCTCTATCTTGATATGCTTAATAGCACATCAGGAGATATTTGTAGCTAAAAGCTATGTTGTGTTTTTAGAAATGAAGAGACAAATTTTTGAGTGCTCTTAGAAGAACTGTAAATACTGGCAGTGGGAGTTTATTCTTACAGATATGCATCATAAACGCCTATCACAGCATGATTGTAATTATAATCAAAATATATCTTATAATCACAGTGAAAATTCTCATATTTTTAATTTCTAACTTTTAGTCTGTAGTGGTTAAGAATTTTTGGTCTTGAGTAGGTCCCTGACCTAATCCTGCACAGTTAGTGGAAACTGTAGTGCTTAATTGCCATACCTAAATGCAGGCAGTTCTTCTGGTTTGGTATTCTTGTCTTTTAACTAACACAGTGGAAATTAAGCTTATTAATAAAACTTAATCAAGAAATAAATATCCTTCAGTCAGTTTTGTATCTTGCAGATGGTGCATTGATACTGAAGTGAAAATAAATCCCTGTCTTTTCATTATCTCGGTTTGCATATATTGACCTGTGTATCTCTTACGTGATCTCCATTTCTTGCAGTAAGTTAGCTTTGTTGTCTGAAGTGTTAAAAAAAGTTTGGGTTTTGTAGTATCTTAATACTACAGCTCATGTAGTGATGATCTGATACAGCATACTGGTGGAGATTATTTATCCAATTATTGTCCTTTGTGCTTTATGCTGAGCTTTGTTAGAATGTATTTTAGGAACCAAATATGTTTCAAAAGATTTTATGGAACACACAAGCTAGTGGAGATTATTTATCCAATTATTGTCCTTTGTGCTTTATGCTGAGCTTTGTTAGAATGTATTTTAGGAACCAAATATGTTTCAAAAGATTTTATGGAACACACAAGCTAGTGTTCCATACCCCTAAACCATGAGAATTAAAACAGTAGTTATTTTAGTTTTAATTTGTATTTTTTACATGACTGAATAGTAATTTCAACACAATGCCAGGAACCTGTTTTTCAAGTTCCATATTGTGTCTTAAGAAGCTTAACGTTACCAGATGTAATTTAATATAGAAAATAATTAGTGTATGTAAGAGTATGTATCTGTAGACCAGTATCAGATGCCATTAATCATCTCAACTTGGTTTTAACTATTTATATTTTCATTAGAGACCACTGCAGATACAGCATTAGTCCCATTCAGTTGATTTTAGACAGGAAGGAGATGTGTCAATGCAGGTGGAAAGCCAGAAAAGAGTAACAGTTTTCTAGTGGCTATTCTGGTGGTTTTTGCAGTTTTGCAAACCTGTCTGCACATGGAGACGTGTGTCTGTTCTGTGAGAAATTAAGGAAGTTCCTGTGATTCTCTGCTTCTCCTGTGTCTCTAACTACTTGATCTGATGAATCTAATAGTCTGTGCTAGTCATGCTCAGATGGTATGTTTTCTATTCAAGTGGAGGGCATAAAACCATTCCTTTTCATCTGCAGGTGACAGACATTGTCCTGGGCATGATAAGAAAGGACCTATTTCTTTTGGTACTTTCTTTTCCTTTATCTCTTAATACATGTTCAGGCATTTCCCTTCTTATTCTGACTAGTGTTTCATTGCAAGTTTTGACGTCACTGGAGAAAATTTTCCGGAGACTTTGCAGTATTACAAGAAAAGAGCTTTTCTTCCTATGCTCGTTAAGTCTGTTAGTCCTCTAGCTGTTAGGCTGAAATGGACAGGATTGGATTGAATTCATACCAATACCTTATTATTCTGTAATGTTTCATAATGTTTCATGCTAAGTAGTATTTCTCAAGGCTGTTCTGCAGTTTTATCTTCTGCTTAAAGTTACGCTTATAATGTAGAACAGAGAAAGGGATTTGGTAAAACTTGTTCTGAATTCACAAAAACATTAGATTTAAATGTGATCATAGCCATAATCACTCTTTACAATGTTCTTTAAAAGTACAGGAGGTAGAAGAGAGCATTAGGAATGTAAAATAGTACCTTTCCTGTTCTATTTTTTTTTTTTTTTTTTAAAGCTTGGCTGTTGGTTCCTCAAGGCAGCTAAGTTTGATTTTTAGTCACAGTTCATGTTCTTGTTGAGATAATTTGTACACTCCTGCTTGCTGTAGCGGAGGTATTCAAAAGATACTGTTCATGGATATAGACTGATTGTGTGTTTTCTTTAGCTGAAAACTTCCTGTAACTATTTTGAGCAAAACTGACTGGAGAACACAGCCACATCAATGAGCATTTCTTACAAGTTATGAAAAGGAAGATGCAATCAGTGTATTCCATCTGTGACTTCGAAACAAGGTCATGGTTATTACTGTGGCAGCATACTGTGCCAGTGATAGAGTACTGAGTATAGTGAAAAGACAGAATGAGAAAGAGTAATTCTGTGAACAAGTTTCATGCTACACATTAATTTTAAGTGTTAGATAAATTAGGCTATAAGTCATTGAATTAGATTGTGACAGTGATGGGGGGCTTTTTGGATCTGGAATATGACAGCTATGCTGAAGTAAATCATGGAGTACAACAAAGACTGCAGTGCAAGATATGATACAAAAGCATGAGAATTCTGTGGTTGCATGCTTGAAACAGTGATTGGATGAAATTCAGAACATCTGTAGGGTTGAGAAAATAGGAGGACTGTTTAAAACAGCCAGAGACTGCTTGAAATAACTATGGTGTCCTGAAGCAGAGGTTGAAGTGTAAGTTGAATCTCTTTTATTGCAATTGGTGTAGAAACACTTACATAGTGTACAGCTTTAGAAGAACCTTGGTGTAAATTTGATACCCTATACTTATGGTCTGAAAGATTGATAGCAGTCCACCTGCTCAGATTCTGTTTCATGCTATATTTTGTACGTTTTATGAAATAAAAAGTTGCCTGAGTGTGAAGTAATCAATTTAACGGCCTTGCAGCAGTTCTGTAGTGTCTGATGTACTGTGCTTGGGAGTTTAATCTTTTGTCTTCAGAGTTGCAAAAAACTTCACTGTAACGTTGCCTAGCCTCTAGATGTTGAACAAACAGCCTGGTAACCCTGTTGAAAACACTAAGTTAGGTATTCTACCAATTTGTAACAATGTACTTAATACATTAAGCTGCAATGTCAGTATCTTCAGAAACATTTATCACTGAGGTTTTATTGGGTTTACTTACATTGTTCTGTAAATCAGCTTTACTAATGCGCTTGTTCAGATCTGCTTTGCTGTTTTGATTGTATGAAAGCATATTCTGTGGCAGTGCAGAACCTTCAAAAGTCATTAGTAATGCTTCGTTTTCCAGATCATTGCATGTTGCATTTTCTAAAAGAGGAACTGTTAGGAGCAGGAGAGAAGATTAGCAGAATACAGAGAAAACAGGACATGCTTAGTAGCTGCCAAATCTTTGAAAGGCATGAAATGTGTTTTATAAGTTTGTGAGGTGGAAGCTGTATGACCAGCTTTTCAATTTGAGAACATTTGAGAGCAGTTGCTGCTAGAATGTAATGAGAAAATAGGAATTCTTGCAGTGGGACAGAGGTAACTTAACTTTGTCATGCACATACTACTGGTTTAGTGTTCTATATCACAAACATCTGTTTCCCCATCAATGAATGGGGCTTTACTACATATGCAGTAGAAATTTCATTTTTACTTAGAATGATAATGAAAATATTCTTTTATTAAAAATTGTTTTGTTTTCACTTTGTAATTTAATACATGAAATGACATTACTTCTTCAAGGAGAAGCCACAAGGACTCAAATACCATAGTTCATATTAAACTTACTACATCTGTAAAAATGTTCCGGTTTTCAAGTCAAAACTATTTGTTATGAGAACTTATAAATTGGTTGTATTGTCTTTGCTGCAGTAGTTTACAAACGTCAAGAGCATTTCTGTGGCTTAGTGCTCTATTTGTCTACATTTCTATGTGCCTAAAATAGGACTAGAAAAGATCAGAAATGTATTTATTCCTTTGTCTTCACCTTTAGATGGCAAGACCAACTTTAGATGCCTTCTGTTTAGTTACATCTGATCCCCCTAGTGTGTTTTTGGATGCTCATAACTAGTGTTGGGACCTAGTTTGTATATTACCTTGTTAAGCCTGCGCATGTGTTCAGTGATCCCATCTGTGGAACTTGCTTTGGCTTGAAAGGAAAACTGAGGGCAGCTAGACATCTTCTGGACCTGCTGAACTTAAATAACATTGAAGAATTTTTGCAAAGCTGTGTAAGGGACTCTTGGCTAATAAAATACTGATGTCCTAGGAATCTTAGAACAGAAGTGTTCCAGTGGTGGTTATTTAAAAGGAATAAATTTGAAAGATCTGTAGATCTGGGTTTGTTTTTATTCCAATTCACTTACCTTTAAGCAGAAAAATCTTTGAATAAAATTAATCAAGGATCAGATTTCCAAAATAAAAATCTATTGAGATTTGCTAGTTTAAATTCTCAGACCAAAAGCTGACACATTCAACAGAAACAAAAGAATTGGTAAGGGATGTCTGCCTCTACAAGTTACTGGCCTTGTCGCATGTAGCATAACCGTACAAACACTTCATCCACACTGTTACAGAGTAGTCATATAGCTTCAGCTTCCAGGCTGAGGCAGGCATAGATTTTGTGTTGAGGGTAAAATCACTAAGGGGTTGGACAGACATCAGCTGTGAATGACGACTTCTCAAACCACTCCACTGAGGTCTGCAAGAGCTCCCTTACATGTAATCCTAGGTAAAGAGACTATTTAAAATGGCTTAATTTACTTCAGGAAGTGAAGTAATGTTTCCGACAGCAGCTAGATGAATTCTGAATCATAGCATGTGGTGCCTTTTGGAGCAGACTGAATGTACAAATATACTTACTTGCTGACTAAAAGCAATCAGAGTTAGGAAAGCACACCTAAGAAATAATAAAGAAAAAATATTTCTGATAAGGAAGCTTATATGCATGATCTCTTCAGGTCACCTGTTCAAATTTAGCACACCCTTGCTTGCTACCTCTTGATCCCTTGTTTTTACTTGCCATAATTTATAAACCAGTTAGGAGTTCTATATGTAGACAAGCTAATAAAGTAATTTCAGTACAAAAATTATCAGAGATAGAAGGGGAACAGTGGCTCAGTAACTAGATTTCCATCTTTACAGTTCTTCAAGTTGCATCTGACCTCATCTGGCATTCATGGCAGTCCTGCTTTGAAACAAATCAGACTAGGTGACCTCAAGATGTTCCTTCCAGCTGGCTTTTCTATAGCAGGCCTGTCAGCCTGACCTCAGTGCTAGGGAAGGTCAGGGAGCAGGTCATCCTGAGTGTGATCACACAGCATGTGCAGGAAGACGGAGGGATCAGGCCCAGTTGCATGGGTTCATGAAGGGCAGGTCCTGCTTGAACAACCTGATCTACAATAAGGTGACCTGCCTGGTTGATGAGGGAAAGGCTGTGGACATTTGTCTGCTTGGAGCTTAGTAAAGCATTTGATGCTGTCTCCCACAGCATTCTTCTGGAGAAACTGGCTGCTCATGGCCTGGATGGGTGGATTCTTTGCTGGGTTGGAAACTGACTGCATGGTGGAGCCCGAAGAGTAGTGGTAAATGGTATCACATCTAGTTGGTGACCAGTCACTAGTGGTGTCTCGCAGGGCTCAGTATTTGGGCCAGTGTTATTCAGTAGCTTCACTGATGATCTGGATCCGGGAGTCAGGTGCACTCTCAGTAAACTTGCAGACAACACCAGCTTGGGTGGGAGTGTTGATCTGCTGAGGAAATGATGGCTCTGCAGAGGGATCTGGACAGGTTGGATCAATGGGCTGTGGGCAGTGTTATGAAGTTCAGCAAGGCAAAGTGCTGGGTCCTGCATTTGAGCCACAACAACCCCGTGCAATGCTCCAGGCTTGGGGAAGAGTGGCAGGAAAGCTGCTCATGGAAAAGGTCCTGGGATGCCGATTGGTGGAGCTGAACATGAGCCAGTTTGTGCCAATGCAGCCAAGAAGGGCAACAGCATCCTGACCTGTATCAACACTAGTGTGGCCAGCAGGGCCAGGGCAGTGGTCATTCCCCTGTACTGGGCAGTGGTGAGGCCACACCTCAAATCCTGTGTTCAGTTCTGGGCTCCTCGCTACAAGAGAGACATTGAGGTGCTGATGTGGGTACAGAGAAGGTCAATGAAGCTGGTATGGAGCACAAGTCTGATGAGGAATGGCTGAGGGTTGTTGTCTGGACAAGAGAAGGCTCAGGGGGAACCATATTACTGTCTACCACTACCTGAAAGGAAGATGGAGAAAGGAGATGTCTTCCTAAGTAGAAGTGATAGAACAAGAAGTGACAGCCTGAAGCTGCTCCAGGGGAAGATTAGAAAAGGTATTAGGAAAAATTTCTTCACAAAAGTGTAGTCAGGCACTGAAACAGGGTGGCCAGGGAAGTGGTGGAATCACTGTCTCTGCAAGTGTTCTTAAAATAAGTAGATGCCCTCAGTGACGTGGTTTAGTGGTAGTCTTGGCAGTCCTGGGTTGAAGGTTGGACTTGATGGTCTTCAAGGTCTCTTCCAACCTATTTGATTCTGTGTTTCTATGTTGAAATATTCAAGTAAATTGTAAATGTTCATTTTAATCATATTCAAATTTTTCTTTTTGTAAAGAAACAAGACAGTTTAGCTGCTCTACGTTTTTATCCCTTCATATTCTTGCCAGGTAACATTCTTTTGCAGGCTGTAATGAGGAATTGCCATATGATCAGGTTTCTTTTTGGGTCAGTTTGCCAAGAATGCTTACATTAGATGTCTGATTTAGTTTGTTAAGAGGATAGTACTGTTTGCAGTAGTAGCAATTATGTTTTCAGTGCAGCTGGATTCATAAAATACATAACAAAAATGCTGACTTTTTTTCCCATCGTTAAAATGTCTGGGTCATTATTCTAATAAACATGCTTCACTTTTTTATCACTTGTCCTGTAATGTGAAGCCTATGTTTTTTGTTTGTTAGTTTAGGGCTTTTAGAACTTTATTATGTGTTCAGTGTGTGGAGTTTCAAATCTAGGTTGGTTTATTTATTTTTAACGTTTTAATTTTATGTAGAGTTTCTAATCCAGGTCCTTACCTTCTGTAGTCCTAGGACCATACCATCGAGTCCTGTGTTCTACCTCTTAAGTGTGTTTTATTTCAGATTTCGGTAAGGTGTTCAGGAAGCTCACAGTGCAGTAAAACAAAAATAGGATGCTGTAATAAACTGAAAATTTCTATGCTAGGTATCTGTGAATAGGGGTGTATATATGTATATATGCATTTGCACACATAAGCAAGTATGTATTAGGAAACAACTAAATGCAATTGCTGCCAGTATTTTCATTAATATAAATACCAGGTTTGCCTGTGTTTGTATTACTACCAAGTGCTTGTAATGATTCTATTTAACAACAAATTCCACATATTTGTGGGTTTTGGGGACTTTGTTTTGTTTTTTGGTTGTAAGGTTTTTTGTTTTTTAGGACTCCTGAGTGTGAGTGACAGCAATCTTAGAGTATGGGCTTGTTTCAATTTATGATGTTAACGTAGAATGGCCTTATGAGAAATTCCATTGTCTTGCATATATGGCTTGGTGAAATAGCTGCTTAAGTGTATGTGACTTGTGAACCCTGATACTGTAGGCAGTAAAGCACTTGCCTTACCTTCAAAGATGCTTTTAGTTACCTCCATATTCTTATATAGCACAGTGTTAGGAAGGAGTTTACTTCCTTTTGAAATACTAGATTTTGCTACAGCCAGAAAAAACAAATCAGTAATCTGATTTCATTGGTAAATTAAGTCTGTTCATTGCTAGATTTCTAGATATTGCTAGTATTTTTAGGGTATTTCCTACTATAAGATACGGATGTGTGGTTTACTTTACAGTGTCAGAGAACAAATCTTGCAGGTAAGATGCTATTATTTCTTAAGTTTGTGGCATAACATATGAATTTCACAGCTTTCAAAACGGTGTAAATGTTTTCTGACTTAAAATTTTAGTGTATTATGAACATTGTGGCAGATTTGTTCTTTTTTTCTTTTTCTTTTTTTTTTTTTTTTTTCCCTAGAAGACTCTCCTACACAGATACTTGTTTAATGTTTGGTTTTATTGGGTTTATTTATGATTCATCATGTTTACATGACTTATGCTAAGCCTAAGACCTAACCCTTTGTTAGTTACAGTTTAATTTTCAGGTCTATATGTAATTTGCTTTTATTAATAACAAGCAGCATTATGAAGCTTTTCTCTTTTAATCTTACAAGGGAAAAAATCGGTATCTAAAAAAGCAATCACAAAGAAGAGGAAAGGTGTCACAAAGTCTACCATACCAGAATTTCAGGTAAATTCTTCTGATTTTCATTTTAAGCACTTAAAATCTAAATGTCTGTGAAGTAAATCCTTTAAGTTTCAGATAGAGATCTTGGAAATCCTAATGAATTTCCTTCTTCTAGTTCAATTTTTTTAATCTGATTGTGTATTTCAAGTGCATTTCACCTTTTCTTGGTAGAGAAAGTTTTAGCAGTTTTCATTATGTGCAGCTTAGACACCGTTTCACAGTACTGTTTAAGATCCCAGATATATCTGTTACAGGACAAAACCTGTAAAAATTAGGAGTTATTAATGGAGTTATTTACAGTGGATGTAATTTTCTGGGATAAAATTACTTGTGTTTTTGTATGAGGTGTGACACTGTGGGCCTTGAATTGAAATCTAGATTGGTTTACTAGAAGGACTTGAAAAAAATTGGTAGCTTCTGGGCTCCTCTTGTGTGCTACATTTAGGCCTTATCTGCACATGACTTTTAGACCAGAGATCACTAAGAAAAGAGTGCTAACTGTGATAGTGTGGTTTAATGGTACTGTGCTGGAAGTGTTGTAGTACTTGAGTTCAAAGTCACAATTTATGCATGCATGCGTGCACGCTTGGATTGAAGATCTCCTTTGGCTATAATTTTTTTTCACAAACCAATCTGTGCTATTCTGAGCAATCAACCCACATTAAATCATGACTGTTCCATAATGCCCTCACACGAATGATCATTAAGTGTTTCAAGTGGAGCTAGCAGAATTTCTAGTGATAAAATTGGCTAGTAACAGTCAGTGTTGAGAAAGGACTAATATTTAAGTATGCACTGATTTTTGTCTATATTCTAATGGTAGGAACTAAAATATTTCCTAGCAGCTACAGAAAGCAGGTACAGTGTCTAAAAATTTTCTTTTTCCCAGCGTTTTACCTGCATGCCATGCATATACGTGGTTAGATTTGAAATATTTTTTTACAGTATTGAACTGCTGTATTTAGTTAGCCTGTCTAAAACATTATCTCAAACTCAGTCCAGCTTTCTATCTAACCAAGGTAATCTGTATATCCAACTGTAAGAGTAACATTACTGTATTTACCTGTGTAAAATTTAAATGTAACAAAATAATTCTGTCTCTTTTGATCTAAGCTAGGCGTTATATCTGTTTTAGGTGGAGCTAAAATTAATTAGTATGAGCAGTTTCCTCTTTGGGAAATAATTAACAGTTTAACCTGCCTTTTTCAAGAGGGCAGGCATGACTGATAGAAGTACCTGCCAATATTAAAATATATTCTGAATACTACTCAGACTTTTAGAGCCTAGTAAAGTATGCTTCAAGATACTCTGCTCCACATATGTGGATGGCTAAGCCTTATGAAATTACGTAACCTTGTTTGAAGGTGAGTATGTATTTTTTAAATATTTGGTAAGAGAACTTGAGTGTATGCCGGCCCCCTGAAGTATTCCAGGGAGAGTATAACCTAGGAATATTGCTATTCATATGTAAACATCCATTCTTTTGGAAGGAAAGTAAGTAAATGAAAATCTGCAAGTTGTTCTATCTCCTTGCAGCCTACAAATGTTATTAAAAAAATGACCAAAACCACAGAGCACTTTATTTTGTAAGACTGGATCCTGTAATTCAGTATAGATCCTTCACCTGAAAATCATAACTTGATAATAAAGCTGATAAAATTATTATTAATAAATCTTTCCATATGTGTTAAAATCATTAAGATTAATTATTAACTAAAAAATACCCCTTTTTATGTGATTTCAGACCTTGCACTGATTTCTTAGCTCAAGGTTGCTTTAAAAGAAAACAACAAAACCTCAACACCACAAAGCAAACAAACCAAAACCAAACCAAAGATAAGGAGATGCAAATTAAATTCTCTACCAAATATCAAGACACAAAAAAACATGTCTTGTTTTCCATATCTTGAAAATTATTTAAGAAGTGAGTTTGCATCTTTAAAGAATAAGACTTCGTTGGCTGTTGCCTATTTCCTGTTAAGAGGCACTATGAGTTACAAGCTTATCATTACTACTGTTCATTAATGTTTTAAAGAAATGACATTTACTATATTGCTGTACAGAAGAGGCATTAATGTGGGGCGTTTTAGGTTTCTTTTCCAGTTACAAAGTTTAGGATTGGTAACAAGTGCTTTGTCTCAGTCTTCCCTCATGTACCTATATAAACCTACCTGTACTATAATTAAGGAAAAAAGGAACATGCGCATTTTAAGCAACTGGTCTAACTTAATGTTTTATAACTGTTTTAACAGTTTCAGTTTTGTCAGCTATGGTTTATATTAAATCTCAAAAGGGCTATTTGGACATTTACCACATGGAGATGGCAGCAATAAAAGAGCAGGTTCATAGGAAATCAAGTATAACTTAGAATCATTACACATGTAAGCTGAAGTTGTTGCATCCCAACAAGAAGAAAGTACAGCAGGAGGGCCAGGAGACCTCCTTGAATGGGTAAGGAGCCGCTGAGGAAAATTTGAAGGAAAAAAGAGGCTTATAAAAAATGGAAGCAAGGACAGGCAGCCTGGGAAGAATACAGGGATGTTGTGCAGGAATCTAGGGACCAGGTTAGGAAAGCTAAGGCTCAGTTAGAATTAAACTTGGCTAGGGATGTTAAGGGTAAAAGGAAGGGATTCTATAGGTACGTAGTGAGTCAAAGACAGACTAAGGACAGTGTGGGCCCCCTCCAGAAGCTATCAGGAGGACTCGCTACACTGGATCTGGAGAAGGCTGAGGTTCTTAATGACTTCTTTGCCTCGGTCTTCACTGGCAAAGGCTCTGACCACACCACCCAAGTCTTGGAAGGCAGACACAGGGACTGTGAGAATGAAGAGCATAGGCCCTCTGTGGGAGAGGATCTGGTTTGAGATCATCTTAAGAACCTGAACGTGCACAAGTCCATGGCACCTGATGAAGTCCATCCGCGGGTCCTGAAGAAGCTGGTGAATGAAGTTGCTAAACCACTGGCTATCATATTTGAAAAATCGTGGCAGTCAGATGAAGTTTCTGATGACTGGAAAAAGGGAAATATAACCTCCATTTTCAAGAAGGAGAAAATGGGTGACCTAGGGAACTACAGACCAGTCAGTCTCACCTCTGTGCGTGGCAAAATCTTGGAGCAGATTCTTTTGGAAGGCATACTAAGGCACATGAAAAACAACAAGGTGCTTGGTGACAGCCAGCATGGCTTCACTAAGGGGAAATCCTGCCTGGCCAATTGAGTGGCCTTCTATGATGGGGCTACGGAACTGACGGACTGGGGTAGAGCAGTTGATGTCATCTACCTGGACTTGTATAAAGCATTCGACACTGTCCCACACGACATCCTTGTCTCTAAATTGGAGAGACACCAATTTGATGGATGGACCACTTGGTGGATAAAGAACTGGCTGGATGGCTGCACACAAAGAGTTGTTGTCAATGGCTCAGTGTCCAGCTGGAGACATGTAACGCGTGGTGTCCCTCAGGGATTGGTGTTGGGACCGGTCTTGTTCAACATTTTTGTCGGTGACATGGACAGTGGGATTGAGTGCGCCCTCAGGAAGTTTGCCGATGACACCAAGCTGTATGGTTCGGTTGATAGCTGGAGGGAAGGAATGCCATCCAGAAGGACCTTGACACGCTTGTGAGGTGGGCTGATGCCAACCTTATGAAGTTTAACCATGACAAGTGAAAGGTCCTACACCTTGGTTGGGGCAATCCTAGGCACAGCTACAGGCTGGGCAGAGAAAAGATTCAGAACAGCCCTGCAGAGAAGGACTTGGGGGTGTTGGTCGACGAGAAAATGCACATGAGCTGGCGGCAGTGTGCGTTTACAGCCCAGAAAGCCAACCGTATCCTGGGCTGCATCAAAAGGAGTGTGACCAGCAGGTCGAAGGTAATCCTGCCCCTCTACTCTGCTCTTGTGAGACCTCACTTGGAGTATCATGTGCAGTTCTGGTGTCCTCAACATAAAAAGGACATGGAACTCTTGGAAGAAGTCCAGAGGAGGGCCAAGAGGATGATCAGGGGACGGGAGCACCTCCTGTATGAAGACAGATGCCATAGGCAGTGTCACCTCACACTAAACCATATCACCTGAGGCTCTGTCCAATATGGCCTTGAACACCGCCAGTGATGGACCATTCATCACTTCTTTGGGCAACCCATTCCAGTGCTTCACCACCCTAACACTAAAGAACTTCTTCCTTATGGAATGGGCTGCCCAGGGAGGTTGTGAATGCTCTATAGCATCCTTAGCAGCTCTTTATCCACGCAAGGAGGTCTCCTGGCCCTCCTGCTGCACTTCCTTCTAGTTGGGACACTCCTGGGCTTGTATGTAGCAGGTGATCCTTGAGTACCAACCAACAGTCTTGGGCCCCCGTGCTCTCTAGGGCTATATCCCATGGAACCTTACTGAGCAGGTTCCTGAAGAGGCCAGAGTCTGCTCTCTTGAAGTCCAGGGCACTGAGCTTGCTGCAGAGGAGGGCCACGAGGATGATCAGGGGACTAAGAGCACCTCCCGTGTGAAGATAGGCTGAGAAAGTTGGAGCTGTTCAGCCTGGAGAACAGAAGGCTGTGTGGAGACCTCATAGCAGCCTTGCAGTATCTGAAGGGGGCCTACAAGGATGCTGGACAGGGACTCTGTGCTACAGACTGTAGTGATAGGACAAGGGGTAATAGGTTAAAACTTAATCAGGGGAAGTTTAGATTGGATATAAGGAGGAAATTCTTTACTGTAAGGGTGGTGAGGCACTGGAATGGGTTGCCCAGGGAGGTTGTGAATGCTCCATCCCTGGTGGTGTTCAAGGCCAGATTGGACAAAGCCTTGGGTGGCATGGTTTAGTGTGAGGTGTCCCTGCCCATGGCAGGGGGGTTGGAACTTGATGATCTTAAGGTCCTTTCCAACCCTAACTATTCTATGATTCTGTGATTCTGAGTTAAGCATGAGACCTCACTGAAGTGTGTAAAAATTTATGCTATAAAAGTTTGGCTGAAGTAAATGGGGGCAAGTGTGGCGTTATCAGTGATCTGGGGAGTATGCTAGGTTTGTATTTATGACTTGATCCACAGATTAGATTTGGTTTTATAATGATAAGTATTTCATTTATAAATTCTAAGAAATGGATCTTGGGAGAATCACAAGCTGGGATAGAGCTTGGTCCCCCTGTCTTTTCTTACAGAAGTCTGAGGAGACTTCCTGTCTTTCCTCCTTGAAGTTCTAGGACTCAGTGAGGGTCTCGAGATTACTGAGGTTTGGAATTGTATCCTAACAGAAAGTCTGAACACTGAATTTGAAAGTCACCTGGAATACTGAATACCTGAAGCTTCCATTGTATTCCATTGAAAAACAGGATGTTTATTGTCTGAAAATTAAGCCCATGTGTAGAAAACACTGTGCCTGATGTGAAAACGTCTGTATTGTAGTTAGTATATACATAACTTTTTACATGACTTGTACATTAATGGAAATATTTACACCCTGAATCTTAAGCTACCATGTTGTGTTCTAGATAACAGGGACTATCTTTCACTGCCTTTGGTAAGTCATAAAGGAAACATTTTCCTCCTCCTATTCTTTTTCTCATGATAAATGATAAGAAGGCATGTTCTTCAAGAGCAGTATGTGAAATTACAAGTGAACTACCAGAATGTTACAGAAAGATTAGTTTGTAACATTAATACCTTCCTTTTTGCTTTGATGTTAAATTACCTGCTAAAACATACAAAACAATTTAGGAAGGCAATGTTTGCAGAAAATTGAATTACTAAATTCAGTCAGTTAACAACCATGAACAAAGAACACTACAACATTGAGTCTCATTGTGAGAAATAGCAGCTAGATTCCATTTCAAAATTATCATACAAAATGCACTACACTCTTTCATTACTATTCTTCTCATTTTTCCTTCAAAATGCTGGCTTCATCTTCTAAGATAGGAAATGTTAACCAAGTGAGAGAAGTTACAGAAATAGCTTCCTCCCAGTCAATGTGCAGCTTTAGTACCTCATCTCAAATCCTACTGTGAATGAAGAAATTGGGACTTAAAGATTTCATTACTTTTTATAGTCACCCTGAGCCCCAAGACAACTAAACTTTATATGTTTGTATTATGTTTCACACTTACGTACTTTGGATTGCTACACACTGAACAGTTTTGCAGATCTGATCCTTACATCTCATGTGAGTGTCCCAAAAATGAGAAATAGGACTGGGACCTGTGAAAAGTTTGGCCACATTAATTGTGTGATGACATATAGGAGCTTTTTCATGGTAGAGGCAAAGGTAAGGTTGGTATTTCCAGAACAGCACTGAGCTAACAATAGTGACAATAGTGAAATCACCCTTCTCCTTGCTAATAACTTTTGCCTTTCTAGAAGTGAGTTCTGAGAGAGAAATTCACCCATGTCTAGCAAATGAAGACAGCATCTTTTTTGGTTCATAGTTCTGCTTGATTTTTGATCTATGATATGCTGAATGAAGCGTATCTCACAGGAGAAAATAAAAAGCATTAATAAAATATAAAAGCTGAATTATCAGTTATATAGTCAAAGGAGTGGATTATAATTGCATAGGGAAAATCTTTATCCGTGCTTTTATTGACTTCCGTCAGTGGCCTCCTGTGACTAACTTGCACCTTTTTGTGTATTGATACAGTATCATAGATTTCTTGAAGGCCAGATAGGAAAATAAAAGCCAGTATTTGGCTTTCAGTTTGCATCTTATGTATTTGGACAGACACCCATGTTGAACCTAGTAGAGTTACACATAGTAATATTTTGTGTTAAGAGAGAAACCTTTTGCAAGTTAATGTTACATACATTGCCTACAGGAAGACAGTGCCAAAATCTTTACTCATTTGCCATTTTAAACTTGACAAATAAGAACACATAATATATGGCAAATAAATAAGGAAATTGGCACTGTCTTGCTGTAGACAATATGTGCTATATTAGCTTTCGAAAGGTTTCTCTCTTAACCCATGTGGAACACTATAAACTGCAGGAAATACTTATGTAATATATGATTATGAAAATAAGAACCGGCATGCATGGGTTAGACACTTCTGACATTTATGTATTTGCTAAAACTGTCAGTTCTGTGTTTTAATAGTAAGTTTTTAAAATACTAATTTTCTGCAATTCTAAAACTGCATGTGTAATTAAAGTAAAAATACATTGTTATGAATTACTGACTTGGAGAAAAAATTAGTGGTTGTATGATAAAAGATTTTTTTGTGGGTTTGCTGCTTTTTTTGGCTTGGATTTAGTTTTCTGAAACTATTTCAGCATGTTTTCAGTATTAATGAAAACATTTCCACTTCAGGGTGTTTAAAAATAAGCAGGTCTTAATGTACAGTAAACTGAAAGAACCTATTAAGTCTTTAATTGCCCTAAGTGATGGTAAGCCAAACATACAGATACTTTCATTTGACAAATCTTAAAGGAAATAATATCCATGTTCTGAAAGGGAAAATGTAAAGAGCAGTTTTTAAAGACAGGAATAAGAAGAGTATAACAGCTTTTCAAAACATAGGTAGGTAGATTTGATAAACATGGCTAGATTAACTCTGTGTAAGCACATACAGATATGTTCAGGAAGAAATTGTAAGAAGTGTAATTATTTGTAGTCCAGAGCTAGCTTACTTTAATTCACCAGGGAGTTGTTTAGTACCGAAACCTGTTCCAGCTCATTACTATACTTGAGACAAATTTGTGGTAGTCATTCACAGGAGTTTTAAGAAATACCTGCATTTTGAAAGGGAAGCTTGCAGACATGAGCCATGTCTGAAGAATGATTTATGTCTGAAGAATTTGTTTCTGAAGAATGATTTTCTTACTAGATTTTCTTCCTTTCATAAAGTCCTTTTTTTTTTTTCTTCTTAATGTTTGAAAATACTGTAAGAAAAATAAAAACCAAATGGTGGCACTAAGTAATAACATGTGCTTTTGGATTTGATTGAACTTCATTGTGCATTTTTCAAGTCCCACATTACCAAGTGTTTGTGTTCATTTGTTTTTTAGCTTATTTGCACTAATCTTGATGAACTCAGGGAATTAATCACAAAGATTGAGAATGAACTCAGAGATCTGGAGGACATTAAAAAGAAATCGGTATGTGATGTTAAAAGCTTTCTCTTGTGTGGGTATAAAACAGTGCCAGTTGTTTGCTGTGGCTTGTCAACTGAACATTTCATGCCTGTTCAGTAACTGCATGAAGCCTCATAAGGTTGATACCTGGAGACTGTAATCTTAATCTTTTCTGTATATAGTGCTCTGTTCAAAATGTTCTTATATAAGTTTATAACTGTGTTAACACTTTTCACTGCTGAAATATCTGTGGATAGTGGTTATACCTTACGAGGAGCAGTTAATTTCTAATAAACATGTGATCATCCTGCCCTGAGGACAATCTCTTACCTAAAAAGCAATTGCAGGATAGATCCTTATGTCTCCTTATGCAGTGGTGATAAATTTTGTGAGCTGACTCTCATGTTGCTTATTAGGATTCCTAACTCCTTTTGTTTGCAAGTAAGTTATTCAAATTGGCTTTATTTAATTTTTATTCAAGTGGGTTGAATAAAACCCAGGAAAGCATGTTATCTGGCTTTTGATACCAGTTTGAGATACAAATTTTACCAATGTACACTGGATCACTCAGTCTATGCAGCTGAAAACCTCGAATGAATAATGGTTAGACAAGAGAACCCAACACATTTGGGATTTTATAGGAGGCAGTGATTCTCATCAAGATGGTGGATTGTTTCAAATACGTGAATAGTACTCATTTAAATGGTCCTCTACATCCAAATTATACTTTCTTCCATTACAGTTTTGTTTATTAAACATTTGATAGGCATTTCTGTGGCATTTCTGTGAACAGTAGCAGTTAAAAATACCGCTTTTTCTATACATTAGTAATTAGGCTGCTGATTTCTGTGTGTCTTTAGTCTCATGCAAAACCAATGTTTTCTTAAATTATTTAAATGGGGAACAGAGATATGCTAGATGACAAGCAGTATAGATTAGGATCCCATTCAGTGAGACACTTGGTGTAATAGTTGCTAAAATATCCAAAGGAATAAAACTAGACTTAATCTGAAATTATTTTGTAGTTGCCAAACTGCAAATTGGTTATATGGTAAGATTGTCAAGAGGTTATCAGGAGGACTATGTCAACAGTAGAAGAAAATGCCAAAAAATGAGAGTACACATCAGTATATCAATAATGTTAGTATAGATGAGACTTTTAGTCTGCTAGTCAAACCATACCAACAAGACTTCTTCAAGGGTAGACAAATGCTAAGTATGTCATAATTGCTCTTTGAACTGAAATCTGATAATGTCATTACGTAAATAAGTTGCATGACTTTAGCAGGAATACTATGTTTAGTTCTAATTGCACCGTCTTAAAAAAACCCCACCTAAATACAGGGGAGTTAAGATACAACTCATTCAGCATTCAGGAGCTGTGAGGTAAGGACAATCTTTCTGTGTGATTCTGTAGATCCGGATTCTGGGTCTCTTAACGCTTGTGTGGTTAGAAATTTTATGTAAATTTAAAAGGCTGTAATTTATTACTGAAGTGATGATAAGGAAACAGTAAAGTGAAGTATTGATTTTTAAAAATTAATTATCAGGCAAACTTCATATTCACTTTTAAAAATACAAATAGATGTTATATTAGGTGAATAGTTGGTAAACTTGCTTTGCAAAAATGAGGTTTTATTTTGCAAGGGAATTCATTACAGTTTCATTTTGATGTCTTAATACTATATATAGCTAGGTTAGATACCTTAAAAAATGGAGGAGATCAGAATTTCATTCTTCAGGTCGCACACAAATGACAGCGGCAGTTTCAGAAGCATCTAGGACAGAGTTTGTTTCAGCTTGTCTGAAGTGCCTAGTCTACTAAGTAAAACATTGTTCTAATTTGGTGATGGAAGTTTAACCTAATATGAAAACTTGATGGTATTAATTTTCATGCTGTTCATGGATGCCTTTCTTGTTTTGACCTGAAGGTGATGATGTTCTTACTACTTTGTGATAACTTTATTGATTTTTGATTGCAGTGGTGACCTACATGGATTCATAGGAATCTCTTCGTGACTAACCTGCTTGGTAATTGCATTTTCAGTAGTTGTTTGCCCAGGCTACTGAGAGAAACCCTTGAGGCAAGCTTTCAAGCTTATGACACTAACACACATTAGAAATACTGCTGTCTAATTATATGAAGACTTTAAAGTATAACCTTTTTCTTAGTCCTAACTGCCCTTTGTTTCCTAGGAGACCATTCTAGAGTATGTAAAAGGAATCCCTTCTCCAGAACTTGGAAGTACTGGAGACTGTAATGAAAAAGCTGAGCTGTAAGACTTCTTTAACATGAGTAAACATACCGTTCTGCATTTTTTGTAGGTAGTTGGACCAGTTGTATCTGTCACTTCTCAGAACACCAGCTTGAGCCAAAAAATGACCAGAGAGATTTTTAGCACAGAAAAGTTTTGTTTGGCAAGTTAAAAGCAAATTAGAAAAATGCTATGTAATTGAAAGCCATGGGTAATTTTAAGTGCAGGCATTACTACCAGTTTCTTCTACAATAATGAAATAAGTCTGTTGGAAAGGTTTTTTCACTGGTTGATTAAAACAATTTGGTTCTATACTCTTTTGAACACTTGTGCTGTCTTTTGAATTAGCTATGGGTAGTATTCTTCTGTTTAAAAAGTCTTGTGCTTTTGCTTGATGACTGGTGAATTTGCAACATTGATGAGATCTGCTTTGTGCCAGTTTGCCATAACTATTTAGGGAGGAAAAATAAATTTTACCTCAGTTATTTAAACAGAAGTTCAATTCAGTCCTAGTGTTATTTCTTCCTGGTCTGCTTCACTTTTGAAGTCCAGCCATAGTTATGAAGCAGGTCTGCAATTTCATATATGTTTTCAACTGACATAAGCCAAAATACTGCCAAATAAATAATTCCTATCCTGTCTCTGGCAGCTTATATTTTCTGTGCCACCCCATGAGAGAAGGTGGCAAAATTCTTTCTTCAGCTGCATGTTTACTCTGTGATCAGCTTAACCACTTTTACTGCTCCTGAAGTATTTGTAACCAAGGTCAGTTTTCTAGTGAAATTTATCATGCAGTTGCACAAATACCTTCGCTTGTGTTCTGCCACAGTTTGAGAGGTCTTTGTAAGTAAGAGCAGGAATGAGCATCTCTGGGCAAAAGAAAGTGGGACTGCTTTTGACACAAAAACGTTCCATTTTGTGGCAAGTGAAGTTGTCCGTGATACTGCAAGAAGGGGTGTTCTAAGTAGTCGGTCCCTTCAGCTACTAAACAGTTCTTCTCCTTGCCACTTACTACACTGAGAAAGAGAGAGAGATAATAACTTAGTTGGTTTAACTAGTTAACTGAGTACCTGACTGTAAGTCAGAAAGAGGGAGGTGCAGAAAAGGGACTTGAGTCTAATGCTCTATGCATTGTCTAGTGAAAAGGTGGAGGGTGCTTCCCTGAGGAATGTCTAAGCTGGACTGTCTTCTGGCTTTGGAATGTTCCTTAGGACATGTGAAGTGAGATCCTTTAAAGCAGTGTGATTAAGAAGTACAGTAAAAATGGAATTAATAGAAGAAATCCCCAAGGAATCTACCATAACAAGAATTAAATTCTAGTAAAATTGATGTCTGTTCTGTTGCTAATTCTGACACAGGTAAGATGTGGGGAAAGCCAGGAGTAAGTAGACAGTTATAAATATGAAGTAGAACATACTGGCTAAAAATTCTGTTGAGATTTTATTGTATTTTTACCTCATATTTGCTGAAAATTTAGACTGCATACATAAGTGTGGAAGTTCAGCTGAATATGAGCTCTTACAAATTTGCTAGATTTAGCAAATTGATCAAGACATGCAAAGTAGCCTAATTCCACTTGAAAACCTACTTGCCAGCAGTATTGATGAAAAACAATTTTGGCAAACATATGTACTAGTGAATCATTTAGCCAATTTATTTAGTGTACTTAAAGGCTTCTGTGCACTATATGAAATTTCTTTTGTGAGAAGGGATAGTAAAGTAGCACTTTCTATCCTGATTAGTATGCCAGATAACAGCTATCAGTTTCTATCATTTTGGATCATGTTTTGCCTTCTCTCCTGTGTCAGGTAAAATCAGTGGGAGTTGCAGAGTAAACGAAAATCTCTTTACTCCATTTCAGATAATCAATGTCTTGTGTGATCTGAAGTCGTTGGGTTTTTGCATGAAACTGTTAAGCCGTTCTGTAGATCAATTTTATGTATTTATTGCATATCATAGCAGAACTTATTTTTTTGTTACTGTTTTTCAAATTCTTTCTTGCTATTATGTACTGTGAAACTGGTGGGATTGTGGATGTTTCTATCAAATAGTGAACTTTTTGCAGACTGACTTTGTAGTATGCATGTGAACTGGGTTTTGACAAGGATGCTTAATTCTAGACCCTGTCTTGATTATATTGAAGCATAGAGTATCTTGGAGGAACATAAACATTGAAAGATTCCTTGTTTACTGAAATGCAAGTATTTACATTGGTAGCACCATTGGATTTGAATTACTCTCTGCAAATATGATTGGTAAGTGCATAACTGTTGGGGGAGTGAGAAAGGAGGCTGGTGCCCCGGATTCCCACACTTAAGTCGAGAAGGTTAAAATAGATGAAGGACAGTACGTTCCTGAGAAGGAGACTAGACTCTTCCCTGTGGGGAGAGAAGTCAGACAAAGTGAAGGAAAGGAGAATTAGTCAAAAGATACCAGCCAGGTTCACAACTAGTTGGGGTCATTAGAAAATGTATTGAAGATTCTGTTGTTTTTTTAGTGGTCTGTAACACATTGATGTTCCTGACTTCATAGCAAAAGAGATGAAAACCTTCTTTATAAAGGTTTTGGGTTCTGCTGTCTTCTAATATTGTTCCTGAAGGTCTTAATTTGACAGTTGTACTTCCCAAGACACAGGAATGTTTTTGTCTGTATGAGGGAGGTGAGTCAGAAGGGCTGAAAATAAACGGAGATTTTCTGTACCTCTGAATCCATGTCACCTGCAGAAATATGTATTTTGTAGTGCACCTGAAAATTCAGAGACATATTTTCATCTGTAGGATACTGAGACTATCCACAAGAATATATTGGGGCAGAATGGAACGTAATATTATCTGTCTGGTTGGGTTGTTTTTTTTTAAACTCCAAACAGGATGCTGTTAAATTTGTTCATAGGAAGTGGAAGTTTATGTTCATCATGGGAATACAAGAGATTGTTCTCTGGGTTTTTATGATTTGCTGCATTTTGTTTTAAAAGATTTTAATATATGGCAAGGCTAATGCAAAATGGCATAATTTGCTAAATAGAAGTCTATAAAATATTTCCTCTGTGTACAGTAATGAAAGGGGAAATATTGCTATATATTTGAAAATATTTGATGGGAAAACTGTGTTTAGACAAGACTGTACAGGGACTTCTCAGGAATGCTCAGCAGAAAGTCACCTAACCATAAAAATAGGTAAGGGCTCTTACTGGCATTTTAGTTAATCAGACTTCAACTTTAGAAACAATAAAGTGGAAAAACTTACTATGTATTTTCAGTTGGGCCTGGTGGAAACTTAATAACTGGGTTAAATCTAATTCACTTTTTAGCAAGAGGTGAGCTTACTTTTCCCCATTCCTCCCTCCTCCTAACCTCTTCCTCCCTTATCCAGTGGAATATGTACCATGCTTGAGGTTTTTGCATGTAAGGGGTTTTCAGTTCTTGTTTTCATCTGTATTACTGTATTTACATAAATGTACATGCAAACAAATAATATTATAGTCTGAGAAATCTGTGTTTGTATACACATGTGCAGGTTTAAGATGCAGATGAGGAGATCCTTATTCCAGTAAATATTTAGGAGAACAGAATTTTAATAGACCTACTTGAAGTCTTGCAGCTAAAACGTTTTCTTTAAATTTCAGCTTAGGTTCTGTGTTACTGTGCATCTTCATCTGTAATGTATCTAAAATACTCTCTTTTTCTATTCTTTGTCCCAAAAACTTGATTTGTAGTTAAATAACCTCATTGCTTTTCTCCAGCTTGCCTGCATCTTTTAAACTGATACGAGCCTCAGATGTTGAATTTTGAATCTGAGTTTTACATACTCACATCCGTACAGTTTCTTGTACTTCTGAGGAGAGATTGCGCTTTTGGAAATGCAGCCAGCTGTTTCATTGTATAGTATGAATGGATAATGTCAGTTTTATGCTTCACATTTTGAAATATGCTCCACAATACTTACTTTTTCTTCTCTGGTATTTCTTACCTATCTCATTAGCTTGCAGCATTTTTGGCCCAGTCTCCCATTTTTCTTAGCTCCTCCAGTATCATTTTTTCTCTGTGTGTTTTCTATTTTGTTCGCAATACATTTTAACTTTCCATAATTTTTCATGCCTTTGCTTGTGCAGCTAGCCCTCCAATAAATGTTTGCTAAGAAACTTTCCTTAAACAAATTTTATTGTACACATTTCTACAATTACAAATGTGGAAGTGTGGATTCTGTATCAAAGTTATTAATGAATAATCATACGTTTAATCTGGGACATTTTTGGCATAGATAAACTCAATAACCTACTGTGTACAGAGAACATTTCACAGTGCTATGTCAGTTAGCATATTATTTTGAAAATAATATTCAGAGCATTCCTGTCAGCAGACAGGCATAACAAAACCAGCTGATTTTAAGATTTTCAGCTGAAGAACAGAGAAATATTTGTATATCCAGAGTTAAGAAAATTAAACAATATGAAAGGGATATAAGTAAGATTCGTAACAGCTTAAAAGACACAGCATTTTTGTAACATCCAATTTCTTTATGAGTTACAGAACTAAGTTAATATCTTGAAGTTTTTCTAATAAAGGGCAAAGTGTGACAGTTCAGTGCTGGATAATTTCGCTGGTCTGAGGTTCAAAAAGATAGTAAGATCATGCTGACAGTGAACTTCCTCCTGTATTTTGGGGTTTTATATCTTTAAAATACATGCAGTAGATTAATCAGAGGAATTTGCCTGAAGGAATCAGAACACTTGGCTGTATGTCTGAATGAAAATTCGTTTCGTAGTAATGAGCTAAGTCATGAGGTAAAGATACTCTCAGTAGCAAGAAATTTACTGTTTAGTTGGATTGGTTTTTTTACTTCATTTGTTTGTAATTTTTAATAAGAGAGTATGAGATACCATTTTAGCCTATAGCTTCATGTGATCAGTTATCTAGATGCAGATTATCAGTGCAAGCTGAAGTCTTAAAAACTAAAAAAGTTTGATGGCTGCTAAAAGTTATTTTTTCATTAATTGCTGGTAAATGCTCAAAGATAAAACTGCTTAAGAGATGTCATAAGTGGATTTATCAATTCCTACAGGTTATTCCTCCTGACTGTGTTCAGGAGGAATACAGTATTAGACTTAAGACAACATCAGAGGTTAGTTGTTGATAGGTACTTATGTAGGATGATATTGCTGAAGATAAAACAGAAGATACTGAGTTTTGGGAACTTCTACTGTAGAAGAGAAGTCTAAGCATTTTCAAAATGAAAACACTTTCAATTATAGATGATTTTGTATAGTACGAACGTGTGACCTCGTCAGGACTGTTATTCACTCAAAACTGCCATTGAATTCAGTGTCTGAAATTCTGGTATTTGACCAATAAATAGGTTAGTGAGAACATATATGAACTGAACAAGTTATCAATCTCTTTTCTTTAGGTGTCTGATGTCCAAAGCAGCTGCAGATCATCAACTCCCTCTCTGTGTGACATCACTAGAAAATGCTAGGCTGGTGATGTCACACATACCACAGAAACCCACTGCAGAATGGAGCAGGCATATTAAGGGTAAGGTAAGTTTTCTCCCTCCACCGCCACCCCTTTTCAACAATATTGCATGGTTTTATAAGATTTCTGATTTATTTTATGTCCCTGGGATATAAGGTAAAGATTAAAGAAAATCTTATAAAACTGCATAATATTGTGGTTGTGTGTGCTTATTTAAAACAAAAAACTACCCTATAAAATTCAGTCCTTACCCTATATATCCGTATCCTGGCTCCAGTCTGCTTTGGGGTTCCATGATGAGTATGACAGTATTATGTATATTGGGGCATTACAGAGAGTGGAGTTAGCATTTCCTGGCTGCTCTGGATGTCAGAAACCTGATTTTAAAAGGTAAGCATTCAGTCAAGAATGTGTTGAATGTCTCTCTTAATTTATATGGAAACATTCTGCGCATCTCTAAAATGTATTTTCATTGTTTTTGTGTTTTTAAAATCTAGTTGTAACTTAACACAGCTGAAAGTCATATGTTATTTATAGTTGTCCACTCTCCAAGCCTTATTCTCTTCTGTTCTTAATTCCTTACATTGTATTTACAGAAGAAAATTGTGTTTTATTTGTCACTACCTGGAACAAGATGGTACTAAGTTCTATTCAATATCTTTATCAGTGATGTGGACAAGTGCACCATCAGTGAGTTTGCAGACATCACCAACCTGGGCATGAGTGTTGATCTGCTGGAGGATAGGAAGGCTCTGCAGAGAGATCTAGACAGGTTGGATCAATGGGCTGTGGCCAATGGTATGAAGTTTGAAAAGGCAAAGTGCTGGGTCCTGCACTTGGGCCACAACAGCCCTGTGCAGTGCTCCAGGCTTGGGAAATGGTGACTGGAAAGCTGCTTGGTGGAAAAGGACCTGTGATGCTGATTGGTGGAGCTGAACATGAGCCAGCTTGTGCCCATGCAGCCAAGAAGGGCAACAGCATCCTGCCCTGTATCAGCAGGGCGAGGGCAGTGATCATCCCCCTGTACTGGGCACTTGTGAGGCTGCGCCTGGAATACTGTGATGCCTTTAAACAAACGCCCATTGTATGTGGAATAAACAGGAGGAATTAGAGATGTGTGCACATCTATGGGGATATAACTGATATCACAGAAACATGGTGGGATGGCTCCTATGACTGGAGTGTTGGAATAGAACGTTACAGGCTCTTTAGGGAAGACAGGCCCTGCAAATCGGGAAGGGAACTTGCTATTTATGTCAGTCATAGGCTGAAGAGGATGGACCTTTGTCTGGGCACAGGTGATGAGTCAACAGAGATCTTGTGGGTCAGGGTCAAAGGTAAAACAGCGATGGGGGACATTACTGTGGGGATCTGCTACAGGCCGCCCGATCAGGAGGACTCTGTGGATGAAGTGCTCTATAGACAGATAGGAACAGCCTCACGCTCACAGGCCCGAGTCCTCATGGGGAACTTCAACAGCCCCGATATCTGTTGGAGGGATGGTACAGCCCAGCACAAGCAATCCAGGAGGTTCCTCGATTGGAATACAACTTCCTCTTGCACGAAATAGAGGAGCCAAAAAGGAGAGGTGTCATGCTTGACCTCATGCTCAACAACAGGGAGGGGCTGGTTGGAAATGTGATGCTCCAGGGAACCCTTGGCTGGAGCAATCATGAGATGGTTGAGTCTGAGATCCTCAGGACAGTGAGAAGAGCATGCAGCAAGCTCACTGCCCTGGACTTCAAGAGGGGACACCTTGGCCTTTTCAGGAACCTGTTTAGTAAGTTTCCATGGGATAAAGCTGTAGAAGGCAGAGTGGCCCAAGACTGCTGACTGATATTCAAGGATCACCTTCTCCAAGGTCAGGAGTGTTGCGTCCTGACAAGAAGAAAATGGGGTAGGAGGGCAAGGAAAGCTCCATAGACGGATAAGAGGCTGCTAAGGATGCTATGGAGCATTCACAACCTCCCTGGGCAGCCCATTCCATAAGGAAGAAGTTCTTTACTGTTAGGGTGGTGAGGCACTGGAACGGGTTGCCCAAAGAAGTGATGAATGGTCCATCACTGGCAGTGTTCAAGGCCGTGTTGGGCAGAGCCTCGGGTGACATGGTTTAGTGTGAGGTGACACTGCCCATAGCATCTGTCTTCATACAGGAGGTGCTCCAGTCCCCTGATCATCCTCTTGGCCCTCCTCTGGACTTCTTCCAAGAGTTCCATGTCCTTTTTATGTTGAGGACACCAGAACTGCACACAATACTCCAAGTGAGGTCTCACAGGAGCAGAGTAGAGGGGCAGGATTACCTTCGACCT